CATATTTCTGGTTTCCAGCCTCCACTGGACCTTAACCTTTAGACTTTTTCAGATATGACTGCCAGTGTGAATGAGTGAATGAGTGCAGTATTTACTGAGTACCTATAGCATGACAGGTTCTGGGCCAAGCATTTTATGTTCAATATCTAAGTTAGTACTTGTAATGCCTCCTGAGATAGAAATAAGGCTGAGGAAACTGAGGCCAAGAAATAAGAAGTATAGCAACTTGTATGAATTCACAGAGCTAGCAGAAATACCAGCTGAGCCTCAACCTCTGATCTCTCCCACGCCCAAAGACTCACTTTCAACCAAGTCTTCAATCAGCTCCTCCCTCTATACAAATAAAACACTGCAAAGTGTAGGGCATGCAGAGGCTGGCAAAGGACTCTTAAAGCATATATTGAAAAGTAGGTATTTATTTAAATTATGTCCACCTAACAGAGAAACTGTATTTAACAAAATCATTTCTGACTTTTGAAGCTAATACATATTTGCCTTAGAACATTTTGAAAAATACATAAATGTAAAGAAAATAAAAATCATTCATAATTTCACTGCTCAACTACTAGGGAAGTAGGGATTGGGAGGACTGGGGTTTGAGGTCAGCAGGCAAAAAGTTAGTGAGGCCTCATCTCAACCAACAATCTTGGTATGATGCATATTTGTAACCCCAGCTACATGGGAGGCATAGTTAAGAGAATTAGTGGCTGGCCCAGTATCATGAGGCTGGTCCTGGGCTAAAACTAGAGACCTTTTCTGAAAAAATAACTAAAGCAAAAGGGGCTCAGGACATGGCTTAAGTAGTAGAGAGGTTGCCTAGCAAACTCAAAACCCTAAGTTCAAAAGCCAATACTTTCCCACAAAAATAAAAAGAAGGATAATATCTTTCAAAGCACTAACAGTAGAGCTAGCCTACATGTTGCTCACAAGGCAGATTGGAGGGGATAATCATAATGAAATCTTTATGCAGTATTTACTCATGTCCTTGTTGCTTTAGTTACCTTACTTATTACATGAGTAAGTCATATGATCTTCACAGTAGCCTTAGAAGACAGCAATGTTATTAATTCTGTTTTATAATTGAGAAAGTGAGCTCCAAGTCGTTATCTGCTGGTGAAGAATGGAGTCAGAACTTAAGCCCACAGTCTTTCTTTCTTAATCACTCTGTAGGAGTTCTTGTCCAATGCAGTATTCACATAGAAACAAGCACAATGAAACACTCAGGAAACATGGGTGAGACTGTAGAGCTTCATGTTGGTATCTTACAAATATAGTTGAATTCAAAAACATAGGCAGAAATCCTTATACACTGTTGGTGAGAATGCAAATTAGTACAACCACTAATGGAAGGCAATTTGGAGATTCCTCAAAATGCTAAAGATAGACCTGTCATATGATACAGTGATACTGATCCAGTGATACTGCTCTTTGACATATACCCAAAGGAACATAAGACAGGATACAATAGAGATACCTGTATACTGATGTTCATTGCAGCGCTATTCACAATAACCAAGCTTTGGAAACAAGCCAGATGGCCTACAACTGACAAATGGATCAAGAAAATGTGGCATATAAACAATGGAGTTTTACTTAGCCATAAGGAATAATGACATGTGATTTGAAGACAAATGGATATAATTGGAAAGCATCATGTTAAGTGAAGTAAGCCAGGCTCAGAAAGACAAAGGACACATGTTTTCTCTCACGCATGAAAGATAGATTCAAAAGATAAACATATACACAAAAACAAGCATGATCTTATACAAACTCAGATGTAGAACATGTTTGTAATAGTGGAACTACTCTATGGAACTTGGGGAAAGAGGGAAATGAAAAGAGGATTATAGAGCATCAGTGATATCATAAATCATAAGAGCTGTGAAGGTAGAGGATATAAGGATACATATTGAAAGCGTTGGAAAATGGGGGGTGGGAGGTAAAAGGGTAATTGAGAGTAATGGAAGGGGTTAGATGGACCAAAATGAAGTGTATCCACAGTGGGCATACATTGAGAAATCCCTTTGAACCTCAATTTAACTATTAATAATGAAAGGACTGTGAAATAGATACAGTGTGTGGGGGGGGATCCTAGTGGGAGGGAGAGGGTGAATGAAGGAGATTAAGGTGAGGGTATGGTTGATGGACTTCATATACTTACATGAAATAGAACAAAGAAACCTGTTGAAATTTCTTTAAGTGGGGCAGGGAGGGAGTTGAGGGGGAGAGACGATGAGGGTGATCCAACCAATGTACAATATGGGTCTAATCAGAAATGTCATTATGTATCCCCTACCCCTGTATAATGAATATATTGCAATAAAAGAAACAAAAATAGGGGGAAGGAGTTTTATATGACTGAAATAAGGAGATGATTGAAGTCTGATTCCATGAATCACATAGTTTATTGCAAAAGAGATTTTCCCCAGTTAGTTTCACAGAGCTTAACCGGGGAAGTGACAAAGAGAAGGAACTTCACAGGGAATAAATTTAATAGATGAGGTACACTAAGCACAGAGTGATTGTTTGAGTTCCAATATTATCAGTCTAGTTGCTCCACTGAGATGGAAGCAGGCCTCCGTGGAAAGTAAGACCCAATTTAAGTTGCAGGCATATCTTTATGTAAGCAATTCTCACATGCAGCAGAGGTCTTTGATGATATGAGATGATACACAGGCATCTGAAAGTCCCTGTCAGTGTTGGCCAGTCAGGCTTCAGAGGTTTGTGAAAGGTGTGCTGGGTGTGGCCCTGCCATGGCCTGAGCTCTCAGTCCTTAGAGAAAATGCTGACAGTGCAGCCTTGGCACAGACATTTGGAGAAGCAGCTGACAGAATGCAGCCTGCCATGGCCCAAGCTCTCAGGTTGTCTGTCAGGCTCTTGAGTCTGTATATATTTTGAAGTCCAGTAGTTGAGGTAATTCACAAAGAGAGCTGATGAACATGATGCCCTATTCCTGAACAGAGAAGGGATACACTCCTGAGTTCTTAGCATAGCAAAGCTATATCATATGACTAGGTAGAAAACTGTGTAAATATCTGGAATCATTTCAAACCTACGTGACAGGAGAGAATCATATCACAATGATGCTATAGCAAAGTATCATTTGCATAAATTGTACAAACACATAAAGTATCACTAGATTTCTTTTCAAGGAGAGACTGTCAATAAATGTACAGGAATTGGATTGTAAAGTTATTAATTAGTTGACTTACACTGAGATAAAATGGATTAGACAATAAAAAGGTGGGAAAAAATAAACAAAATAAAAATTAAAATGCCTTTCACAAAATGATAATTATGGGATCCCATGGACTGAATAGTATTATTAACTCAAATTTGTGTATCAGAATCAGTGAGAACAATGAAAATAGCATAGACTCAATGTCCTGCCCTCTATGAAAACACAACCTACAATCATCTTAGAGAATGAATTCTGGGGCTGAGTGTGGAAGTGCATGCCTACCACCCCAGACACCCAGGAGATGGAGATAGGAAGGTCATGACCATCACTTTTCCAAATTTCTACTTAATTAACTTTGGAATCTGTGCCACCCCCCCACTCATCAAGGAGCACATACTTCTGCAGAACTGAGTAGCTAAAGGAATCTTTCTGCTTCCCTTTGCAGGAAGAAGCCTTTCCTGAGGGGACTGGTTCCCAGAGGAGGAAGACAAATATTGTTTTTGGAAATTGAACTATTTTTAGGTTTTCTTTTTTGTTACACAAGTTCAACATTTCTTCTTTCCTTGTAATTGTATTTGAAAAAGCAAGGGCCACCTCTACAAGAAGATCTTGTCTTTCTCAAGTGGATTTCAAACAGTGCATAGTTTGACAGTACAGACCAAGAGAGGGATGCTCAGGGTTAGCCTGCTCAGCGAGAATGAGATGTTCCCACATAGGATGTGGGTTTCTGAAAAGTTTTGGAAAGAAATCGAACAAAGGTTCTCAGCCCTGAACTGCGTTCTTGATTCCTCACAAGCATATTTATTTCAAGTTAAATCTACAGCTTAATCTTTGCATAAGGCCAGACAAACATGGTCTGAAGAAAAAAACAGCATCTTATGTTGGATTCCATTGGGTATCATTAATTCTCACGTACAAGTTGTCAGTTCTCACAGGCATCCTCTCTGGACTCCTTTCTCCAGGAAATGGATGTTCTCTTAATGTCTTAGTATTCACTAAAAATCAAAAACCATCCCTTAATCATCACATTCCTTTTTATATATCCTGTGTCACCTTTATTTTCTTGCTAATTCTGGTTACTATGAAGTTGTCATTTATTATCTTGTTTTATAATTATATGAAGATTATCTTTATTTAATGCTATGGTTTTCTAATACTCAGGGTAGTATATATTTCATAAATATTTAGCATTAAGACCATTGCAATAAATTTGCTTCCTCAAAATTCTGATACTTGTCTTTAACAATTGTCTGTGGCAGACATTATAGCATTCTGTTTGAAAACATATACATGGCATCCCAGGGAAGAGTGAACTTTGTTCCTGTGTCTTAAAAGGACCAGGGATTTTCTAACAGAACAACCTAGGACATGGAAAAATTGAGAACTATGGAGTTCGGTGCAAACTCCTGCCTGGCAAGGCGAGGATTCTACATCTGCTTTAGTTAACAGTACTACAGAACTAGTATAAAAGGGCTATTTTGAACCAGTGTCTTGTACAGAAATGACAAATGAAACAAATGATATTTTTGTTAGTCAAATGGCTCCTAACACAACCGAAAGGTGCTTTTCTCTGGCTGCTGCCTTAGCCCAGATTCCTGGCCACGTCCCTCTCCTTCCCCACCTCCCTGGCGTTTTTCTCTCCCCACCTCTCCCTCCCAGGGCACCACGGGCTCCACCCTCGCCCCGCCCCGGCCAGCGGACCAGGAAGGGCCAAGCTGAGGGCCGCTAGCTACAGCTGCCTCCGGCCCCCACCTTTCCGAGGGTCCCCTGCAGAGAGGCGGCAGCCACAGCCGCTGTCCCCGGGCCGCCCGGCGCCGCTCACGCCATGCCCCCCGGCCTGCCCAGGAGGGGCGCCAGCAGCCACTACGACCCGGTCCCGGGGGTGCCTGAGCCACAGGTAACGCTGACCATCCCGGGGAGAGGAGGGACGGGGAAGGGGGACGACAAGGAGAGCCCCTCCTGGGAGCCTGGATTGGGCGATGTCACACGGGCCACACAGAAACGGACACGAACAATCACCAAACCCTGCAATCACGGCCAGTGTCCGATGGCGGCGGGAGGGAGAAAGAGGCATCTTTGAAGCCAGAAGCAACTCCCCCATAAATAGAAGCAAGCATTTGAGAGAATGGATGCACTTGTCTTTGCTCAAGGGATAGAAGTTGGGGTGGGGTCCTACAGCCAGTGGGATCCCAAGAGGATTAGGGATCAATATTGTGTTAACTCAGATGCGCATTGGGACGCTGAGGTCAGGAACAATGAAGAAACTGCAGAGCTTTGCTCTGCTCCATAGTGACGGATTCTTTTTTTTTTTTTTTCACAATAGTAGTCATGTGCTAAAAAAGAACCCTTCTGTGGTTGTGAGTTAGGAGCCATTCCTCTAATAAAAATAGCATTTGTTTCACTTATCATCACTAGGCAGGACATGGATATACAAATAGCCTTTTACAGAAGTAGTTCTGTAGTCCTAACAAAGAAACAAAAGGAAACAAAGGGAAGAGAATGGAAAGAAAAGAATATAAAAGGAAGAGAAGAGATTTCAGTTTGGGGGGACCTTGGTCTAATCCTGGCCTTTGTTAGTAACTCCAAGTGCCAAATAAATATGGCAGCTATTCTAACAGCATATAAAATGAAAATGATTTTAAAAGCAACCTAAATTAAATGTGAAGTACTTTTTTAAAGTTTGTGAGACAGAGGGGTTTAGAATAGGTGCCTTTAAAGTGTGAAGAAGCTCTGTCAGGACAATACATCTTTTTTACTGTGCAGTAGCCATGACAGGCTCAGTCAGTCAAGCTGCTTTAATGTATGTCATTAGCAGAAACTTAAAGGTAACCAAAGACAGTATATTGCATATTTGGATAATGGGAAATTGTAAAACTCAAACAATTTCCTCACTGAAAATTCCAGTGGACTCTCCCTCCAGGATTAGAATAATGTTTATTTCCTTGACTGTTACCCAATTTTGATAGTGTTTATAGATCAAAAATTCACTTGGACAAGATTCAAATATTTATTTTCCATGTATTCTCTATTTGTTATTTCTATGATGCTAAATTTTAAAAACCTGATGGCTTCAAAGTATATTGAAAACCTTGTATGATTATATTTCATGGTTGAGACTTTATTTTTGTTAGAATAGATCTCAGGTTACATATCTACCCAACCTATAAGAACATGTCTTTCTGACTGGGTTTCTAGGGCTGGCATGATGACCTATGTATAAAATGATGTTAAATATTTTTATTGGTAGTGATTAGCATCTATCCATTCATTTATTCATCCAAAGCATATTATTATGATATATCTCTGTATCTCAGATAAAACAGGAAATACAGCAATGAATTCAATATAGATTCTAAACTTCAGAGACACAAAGTGTAACAGGAAAGAAGCACCTGTCAGGAAATGATGAAATAGTTGGGTAAGGTGAAGGTACATTCAGTAAGTTCAGATCTCAGTGAGCACACAGATCCCCCAAGATCAGTAAGTATGCTGAGATCTGTTTGGTAGCACAGAACCATTGTCTGAGCTTTGGAGGCTATAGTGGGAGGAGAATAATATCCAAAACAGTAAATAGATGGTGAATAGAATTAAGACACAGAGCTAGGAGAGGTGAGCCAGAAGAAAGTGGGAAGAGAAAAGGCCTCTCTTAAGTAGTAGAAAATAGCGAGTGACAGGGAGAGAGGGTTGAGGACGTGGAGTAATGACTGGAAGATTGAGTGAACTAACTTAATTAGATCTAGTCTCTTATACTCCTTAGACTTTGAACAGATTTCTTAAAGTTTGTGCCGTAGTTTCCTGGTCCGCAAAGTAGGGAGGACAAAAATGATTCTACTTAATGTTATATTTAATGAGATAAGGTATTTCGTATGGGATCTGGAATAGAGTAAGTGATTAAAAGCATCAGCTGTTTGGATTTCTGTGTTTTTCTTTCCCTATGCCATATGTCTACTTTCTTGCAACTTTCTCCACTCTTTCCAGAATTCTCTACAACACCTTCAAAAGAAATTGTGGTGATCAGATATTAAAGTAATCAGTTACAAAAGCCATGTCTCCGTGGAGCCACATCTGGAGTTTGAACCCAAGGAAGATTAAAACCAACATATTTCATTAAGTCCTAGAATCCTGACAGTCTCAGTACTTTGTGTTAGGCAGCTTTCTGTGACTATAACAAATACTTGAGAGAAATCAACTTAAAGGAGGAAAGTTTTATTTTGGCTACAGTTTTGTAGTTTTAAACTATAAATAATTAGCCCTGTTGCTTTGAGTCTGTGGTGACACAGTGAATCATGGAAGGAGGATGTGAAGGAGAAACATATTTACTTCATGACTAGCTGTTAAGAAAGAAAGAAGGAGAAGCTGGGGTCTGATTATCACCTTCAGCAGTATAGAAAATACTTTGGTAAGGTGAGTCATTAGAGTATCCCATAAGATGTCCCATTAAGCCCTAATTACTAAAGGTTTCCACTACCTCACAATAGCACCAAGCTGGGGACTAAGTTTGTTACATTGGTGGTAGAAGCATATTCAAGAACCAAGCTATAGCATACTTCTTGCTCCTCTACCAAGTTCCATTCAAGTGAAAATTACCCTTAAGTCAACAATTTTTTAATAAGTTAAGTCATGCTTGTGGGATACCTACTACAAACACCATAGTAGGTAAGTACAATAAACAAAAAAATGACTTTGAAGATAAAAGCCCGTAGCCAGCTTAGGGAGACAAAGGAAATGTGGCACTCATTTCTTCAATTAGATCTTCAGATTGATGTGCTGTCAGAGAGAGAAGAGATAGATTAGAAGGAATGAGAAGTATTTAATGGACAAGATAAAAGATGCTCTGCAAATTGTCATATTCTACTTTTTCTGTATAGAAGTTGCTATGCAGTAATATATAAAGAATAAACTCAATGACCCTAATATAAAGTCATTAATTAGTTTTTAAACTGAGAAGTTATTTATACATTCTTGGTGTTTGATAAGGATTCATTACCTTCACCAGATATTTTACTTGTTGGCTATTCCTTCTGGGAGGTAAAATACACTTAGACTTTATTGTCATAAATTCAATATAAGATGTCTAATGAACATCTAATGGGGATATATTTACAAGAGGAGTCAAAGGGCTACCTAGAAGATACTTCTACCTGGAAGACTGTCAGGAAATGTTAAATCATATGCTGAGTACTTAGTCCACTAAAGAAACCATCTGTGGTACCTTCACAAGACTCAGATGCTTAAAACATTAGCAAGTTTATTTAGCTGGTGATTTTCTGGGACAGTGAGGTTGGGTCATGGTTTGCATCAATGTGGTTAATATCTGCTGTGCTTTGTTTGCAACTGTAATCAGCTGGCAAGTTGTCCAGTTACTGGATGATTTAGGACCACCTTGCTTATATACCTAAAAGTTTCCAAGCTACTGCACAGGTGGCCAACTGTGAGTGCTGAGTTTCTCCTACACATGGTTTCTCATCATCCAGCAGGCTAGCTTGGGCTTGGTCACCTGGTGCACTCATGGTCCCAAGCAGAGCAAAAGTAGGAGTGGTAAGATTTTGGAGACTTAGAACTAGAGCACTTTAAATGTTACTCCATTGGCTTTTCATGCCCAAGACATGACCCAATGCCTGAAAAATTCAAGGAAAGGGAAACAGTTTCTACTTCTTGATGAAAAAGGCTACAAAGAGCCATTTTGCAATCTGCCACAGTAGTGTCATGTTTTGGATAGAAATAATATGCTTTCATAGATGACAAATGATAATACTGGCAACTCCTTATTAAGCTAGAATGTATGTCATACAATATGTACTCTAGGTTAACTAGAAAATTTTCAGAACATTTCCCAATAATTTGTGCACTGTTTTCCAAATAATATGTTTGTTGATGATGATGACAATATCAAACCAAGTTCAGATAGTTGAGTGACTGACTGCCCCCAATGCTGTAATAAACATTTTATATTCATCATTGTATTTTTTACTTGCAAAACTTCGAGACGCTTATCACTTTGATAAATTATATATAAGTGAAATGATTTATAATTTGCTTTAATAGAAAAGATTTAAAGTTGAATATCATGCTTTCTCTTCTACATTCAGAAAACTGTGCTGCATAGGATTGGACTTTTGTTTCACTCATTTCTTCTTGCTTCAGAATTTTAAAAATATGGTAAATACTTTATAAATTGAAGTATGAAGTCAGAACTGGGTTAGAGAGGAACAATGCAACAGTTGTTACATGTGGGACAATTTCTTAGATTCAAAAACAACATGGTGATTGATCAGTTTTATTTCTTAAAATACAGATTGATGCTAACTCTAAGAATGTAAAATGATATTGTTACTTTCTAAATATCTATTCTTTTAGTTGAAATTACCAAATGACTAGGAAGAATTTTATAGAAATATTATAGCCCTTCAAAATAATATATAATTGTGATAATTATATAACTATACTGGTAATTTCAAACCTATGTGATTAAACACTATATAGAAGTTGAGCAAATACCTCTTATAGTCTTTTTCCACTCTTCAGAAAAATGACAAAACTATCTTTAACAATTAAAATTATATATATGTATGTATGTATAAGGTAAATTATGTAGTGTAATTTATGATTATTGTATATATATATATATGTATATATATACCATGTATATAATACCTATTGTGTACATGTATGTATATACATGTTCATATACACACATACATATGATATATATACATATATATGGAGAGAGAGGGAAACAGGTATCTTAGAAATGATCTTCCTTTCCACCATGATTTATTGCTAAGTAAATGGTCATAATGTTGGGAGAAATCTTACAATACTTCTAATTCAAACATCTAATGATATCTTTACTTAAATCTTTTCCTTAAGTATATGGAATAAATATATCTTTAACTTGAACATAAATTACATTTTCATCTACTGACAAAGATACAGGTGAAGCATCCCTAATACAAAAATCTGAAATCAGAAGTCTATGAAATTCAAAATATTTGTGCAGAAAATTGACCCCACAAGTGGAAAACTTTGCACTTGATCTTATGTAATGTGTTACACTCAAAATGCAGACATGCAAGTGATATGGTATAAAATTATGCGTATGACCACTAACAACATGTGTTGGCAAGGATGTGGGGAAAAAGGAACCCTAATCCACTGCTGGTGGGAATGCAAACTGGTGCAACCACTCTGGAAAAACTTTTGGAGACTCCTTAAAGATCTAAACATAGACCTGCCATATGATCCACCAATCCCACTCCTGGGGATATACCCAAAGGAATGCAACACAGGTTACTCCAGAGGCATCTGCACACCCATGTTTATTGCAGCATTATTCACAATAGAAAAGTTATGGAAACAACCAAGATGCCCCACTACTGATGAATAGATCAAGAAAATGTGGTACTTGTGCACAATGGAATTTTACTCAGCCATGAAGAAGAATGAAATTTTATCATTTGCAGGTAAATGGATAGAACTGGAGAGCATCATTTTGAGTGAGGTCAGCCAGGCTCAGAAGACCAAAAATCATATGTTCTCCCTCATATGCGGACTGTAGATCTAGGACTAATGCAGCAATGTGGTTGGACTTGGATCACATGACAAGGGGAGAGCACATATGGGAGATATAAGAATAGGTAGAAAACTCAAAACATGAAAGCGTTTCATGTCCCCACTCCAGAGGAACTAATACAGAAACCTTAAAACGACAGAAGTTATCATGAGCAGGGGATCAGGAACCAAAACTCCCTGTATAGCTATCCTTATCTCAACTTGGTCTTTCCTGTTGTTGCATGTACTCTCTCTTCAACAAAATTAGAGATAAGGGCAAAATAATTTCTTCCTGGTAGTGAGGGGGTGGGGGGGGAAAGGGAGGGAGAGGGGGAAAGGGAGGGGACGGGGGAAGGGGGGGAGAAATGACCCAAACATTGTATGCACAGATGAATAAAAGAAAATTTAAAAAAAGATCCGTTAGCATTGAATCAGCATGGGTCGTAACACATGGGTACATGAAAGCAATAGTAGGAATCTCTCTGTATAGCTATCCTTAACTCAACTAGCAAAAATGCTTTGTCTTTCTTATTATGCTTATGTCATTTCTTCAACAAAGTTAGTGATAAGGGCAGAATAGGACATGCCTGGAACTGAGGAGGAGAGGGGGGAAGGGGGGGAGAAATGACCCAATCAATGTATGCACATGTGAATAAATGAAAAAAAAATTTTAATTATGTGTATGAAGTACATATGAAACATAAATAGATTTCATGTTTAAACATGGGTCCCATCCCCAAGATACTTCATTATGACTGTGTAAATATATAAAGTCCAAAAAATCTGAAGAAACACAAATCCTCTGCTCCCAGGCATTTCAAATAAGGATATCCAACCTGTATTTCAAATGTAAATTTAAAGGCATTATTAATTGCATTCATTACTTGTTATGTTTTTCTTTTTAGAAATGCAGCCCAGAGAAAAGTGCTTCATTCTTCAGTAAAGTGACATATTCCTGGTTTAACAGGTAGGAATCAGTAATTTTTTATAGCATACTGCGCTGAAAAAGAGTCCAAGGGAAATGGCACCTGTTATTCCTTTAATCAAATATGAGTGATTTTAGAAAGTGACATTGTAAAGATACTTCTCATATCACTTGTTACTCAGAAATCACAGATAATAACATAATAAGTCATCCCATAGATAATAATAATAATACTTCCAGTATGACCATCTGGTGATAGGATTTATAGTCCATTAGCACTTGGAAAGGATGAGAAAAGGAACTTCTCCTTTATATTAAATATGTACCACTCATTTTATGCATGCTATCTCATGTAATCTCTCACAAATACCTAAAAGGCAGGCGTTTATAGTTGAAAAAATCTGATGCTCAAGAAGAAGAAGAACTTAGGAGCAAATATGTATCACAGGCCAGTTTCTTTTGAGTCCATGTTTAATACATTTTTTGGAGGGGGTATGTATCGTGCTCTTCACTAGAATGCTGTCATTCATATCATTTATACTTACATATGATACTATTAAAACTCATACACATAAATGCACAGAGAAATCTCCTTTTAAGACATATATTCTACTCATGGAATCATTCATCTGCAATGTCTGAGGGTTCAGAAATCCTTTAGGAGACACCAGTGTAATCTCTAACTTAACACAGGAACTAAATCATATTAAATGAGAAGAACTGACTTTTTCTTAATTTATAAATTGAGAAACTTGCTTTATAACAGAAAATTCTTGATAATTAAGTTTGTCTTCTTAGGTTTATGACCCTTGTTCTATAATCAGTAGAAACAAAATTGCTCCATTTGTTCTACATATATGTCCTTGATATTAAATAAATCCTTTATTTATTTAAACTAATGACTTAGTTTCTGCCTTATAAGAATTCCTAGTAAGGTTGAAAAGATTAAACCCCAGAATGGTAGCACACCCTTGCAATCCAAGCACTAATTAGGCTGAGGCAGGACCATTAGTCCTAGGTCAGCTGGTGCTGCATTTTTATTTTCTCAAAGAAAATGAAAAGAATTAGGAAGATTAAAAAGTAGACCATCAATTATCAAAAAAGACAAAGGGCAATGTAAACATGATTGAAAAACACAAATTTTTAGGATTATCTTCTAACCAAGTTTGCATAACTAGAGAATATTTCACAAGTACTAATGGCTTAACTTAAGATTTAAAGATGTGTAGGAGTGAATCAAGTGGAAGTTCAAGTTGAGCAAATGCCATGTACAAACCACAGAAATGAGAAAGCACTGACCTTGCTTACTGAAAGACAGTGTAGGACTGGCTAGAGATTAACTTGGAGGAAGAGAAAATAAAGATTTCTTTAAGAAGTTCTGAAGGCACAAAAGGGCACTGAATAATTATGATTTATAATTATAAACAGAAGAGCGATTTGATCATACCTGCATTCCAGATTATCACTTTCGCAACTGTGTAGACATGGTAAATAGGAGATGGAAATGGATATCAGAAGAATTATTCCAGTCTCTTTCAAAGCCTAAGGATTTATGGCTCATGAGAACTGTGATGACAAAGGTACTGAAGAGGAAGGTACTATTTAGAAGAGCTATTTAGGAAAGCAATGACTCAATGAAGAAATTGAGGAGCTGGAAAAAAATGTAGGTTGCATGTCAGTTTCTAGTTCAGATAGCTGTGAGGTTCAGGCCTGGTGAAAAATTATAGGTTCTGTTAGGGAAAGTTTCAATCTGAGATGCCTGTAAAGCACCACAGGAATAGGTATTTGACTATGTGGTTCTCAGGCATGGGGATAAACTCTTGCCCTACAGGTAAAGTTTTTGAGTATGGATTTGAGAGTCATTGATTATAGGTCAGTAGTTGACCTAAGTGTGAATGGGATTGTCCAGAAAGCAAGGCCATTGAGTAAGAGGAACAAATGGAACAATAGGAATGCTCAGTGTTTAAATGACAGAGGCAAGGATAGTCTGTAAAGGAAACAAAATAAAGGTGTTCAAAATGAAAGACAAATATCCAAGGAAAGAGTGACTGACAACTAAGGAGAGTGAAACTATCAACAAACAAGGCAACTAAGGACTCAGAGTATAGTTCAGTGATAAGGCACATACTTGGAAGGAAGGAAGGAAGAAAGGAAGGCAAGGAGAGAGAGAAAAAAGTAGAAAGAGGAAGGGAGGGAGGGAAGGAGGGAAAGAGGAAGGGAAGAAAGGGAAGAACAAACAAACAAAAAACCCTGAGAGAAATAAAGTAATCAACAGAGTTAAATATTGAAAAAGAGATAAAATAAAATAAGTACTGTATATTCATTGTTAAATACTTAAAACTATTTTTAAATTTTTTACTAAAGCAGTTTAAGTATAAGATGTATATATTTGTGAGCAAATTCTTGGGAAATTGAATTATAAGAATTCCAAATTAGACAAATCTATTAATCACTTAAAGGGAATGACAGACATTTAACACCAATGCACAACACTAAAGTACAGACTAGAAAAAAGGAAAGGTAAAACAGAAATTATATAAATGTGTGTTATTTATAGTTAATTATTTTTCATTTTTCAAATTTATATACACATGTAATGTTCTCCAAACCTGCATTCTATTTCATCTGTGAATTGAAAGAGTATTTACTGTAGCTTTAGAAAATTTCAGTGTCATTTTAATATCATAGAATTTAACACAAATTAATTTTAAGTAAATGTAATTTATAAATGTTGATCATCAAATTGTAAAATTTTATACATACATATTTTATATTGTAAATACCATTTTAGGAGTTCTAAAAGTAAGAAGCTGAAATTAAATTTAATAAGCAACAGAAAATATAACAAATTAAAATATATAACTTAATATCTTGAAATCCATGTGTTAAGTCAAGCAAGCAACCAATAAACTTTAATTGTTGATTCTCATATTTGTTTCCTGTTTTTAAGTTTAATATCTCAGAACTAATTGGAAATATTTTCATTGCATGATGCTATCTGGAACTGTCATTGGCATGAGTCTAATTTGATTGCTCATCTGTGGTTAAACAATTGCAACTTTTAAAAAACTGTTGTTTAGGAGAATGTCCCTTTGAAAACAATGATTAGTTATATTCAAAGGTCTATTTTTGTAGTTACAGAATAAAGTAAGAAATTATTAGGTCAACTTCACCTGCTCATTATTATATGACTAACTCAGTTAAAATATGCTCAGATGATATACGAGTTAGGAAGTGATAGGCTTGTGACGTTTAATTCCTTAGGCAGTAGCTTTCTAGACCATTTTGATGATCAAATAATTACTAAGCCTTTATTAGAAAATATAATCCATCATCAGTGTTTAATGTTCATGGACAGAGAATAATCCTCTTGATACACATGGAAAAATCTAGTCAGTGTTTTCTGTGGATCACAATTGGGTCATTACTTTTATACACTAGCAAATATATCTTACTGTTTTCTCACATATTAATAAAATGTGTGCATTAACTGCCTTTGTCCCTTTCTGATTTTTGGGCAGATTGACTTCATTCCTTTCTGCATTTCAAGAAATATTTTGAAAGATAATTAAGATCAATATGATTAATAATGCTACTATATAATCACACTTTTCAAGTACTCAACTATTATTCATCTACAAAAGTTGCAGTTACCTCATCTCTCCAGCTAAATGCAACCTTTTATTATTAAATATGCTCAAAATTCTCTCTAAAATGACAAAATTAAAAATGGAGCACAGGTATTACATTTCAAGATACTGTGTGCCTTTTTCTTAAGTTAACATTGCTTTATTTTACATAGGAAAAACTGTGACCTGTCTCTGGAATTCTTTCACAGGTGTTTAACCACCTATAAAAATGAGAAATTAATTCTGCCTGCTTTAGAGAATTGTGTAATGGAAGTGTCTGTTGAAAAGAAACATTATTTTAAAAAATTGAGGTGTGGGTAGGAAGCTCAGTACTTTAACAATAGAATCTACAAGCTGATGGGAACGGGTGCATACTGCATGTCCCTCGTTGAGAATGTCAGTCATTGGTCCCAGTTTCTTCCGTAAAACTAGTGCAACATCCAAAGTAAAGAAATACCAATTCTTCACTTCTTATTTCCCCAACTGCTAGGTGGGCAGGTTGGACAGCCCATGTGATTAATTAGAGTATTTAAGTGTCCCAGAGAGAGAGCAAAAGATGTGGAAGGAGCAGACACCTGGGAAAGGGAAGTTAAGGTAGTTAAATAACAGAGTCCTAAGAATCACATCATTTCAGCTGAAGTGTCACTTCTAGATGTTGCATTATTTGGAGAGTCAGCATGAAAGCCAGAGGCCACTTATCCCTGAACCAAATCCGCTGAGTTTTGTACAGTTCTGTCTCAAAATCCTGAGGCAGTAATCTTATTAAAAATTCTTTTGTGAAAAATCAATTCAATCATATTTTGAAAATGAGTATTTATTTTATACAATGGAATAGAATGGCTTCATATGACATGAAAGGAGTTTATTGCTTAATATGCTTTTAAAAGTGCACTGCAGGAAAATGTCCAGCATATTTGAGCCAACAGAAACAGGATGACTAAAGGTCCATTGTTGTTACAGTTACGCCTTTTTGTTAAATATGAATAAATATGAATGTTATTATGTAATATAATAGAAGTAAAATTGAATCCACTAGGGACTCTGGTTGTCACAGGGTTTACATCCATCCCAGGTTCAATTAGTTCAGATTATTGAGTAACAATGACAATGAGACATTCCCAGTTTGGTGTAATAGAGTACTTTGTTATGGTCTCTTGGGCTAATGTGCTTTACAGTGGTTAGAGAGTCAGAAGGCCTGGGCTTAAATAATTTAATTTAGTTAATTAAATTTAATTTCTTATTGAACAAGTCCTGTCACCAAGCTAGAGTATACCTGACCTCTGTATTTTAGGAATGTGTTTGGGTTTATCTAACAGAATAACCAAATAACAACAGCTAAAACCAATAGGATGTCAAGCCTATCTATGTGTAAACATAATGAAATTTTGGTCTTAATGAGTTAACATATTGCACCTCATTTGTGGTGGTGCTGGTGTAAATGACATAAAAGTAGAGCTCTTATGATATGCACAACACCTCATACTTGTTAATGAAAATCTAACAGTTACTGCTTTTGTATTTACTGGGCTATACTTTTCATCACTATATTAGAATGTGTTCCTTCTCTTTATAAAAAAGTTTACCATAAAAACAGAATGCTGTGACAAGCCACATATGTGTCATGTTTACCATATATCTTGATTGTATTAAGAGGCCATGTCAAGTGATTGACTTGCAGCACCTAGGTTCATGTAATTATACTCTCTGATGTTTGCACAAAAACAAAAGTGCCTAATAATGCCTCTGTGTTTCTCAGAACATGTTCCTATCATTAACAATACTCAGTTGTATTTATTTCCTTATATCATGGGGGAAGGGGTTTAAATTAGACTACTTCAGAAATGTGCTAAGAGGCCAAGATTTTTTTCTATTTTCTGTTCTTTTCATTTGGCATTTCACACATGTGGCAAAGATAGCAAGATGCCTCAAACCCAGAAAATTATAAAGAAAGGGCATTTACTTCCTATAGCTCTGGAATCTGAGAAGTTCAAAAGCATGGTCCTTGCTCTAGTGAAATCTTTCATGCTGAACTGTTCATGGCTAAGGCAAATGAACACACACGAGACAACCAGAGGAAATTGGTGAATTTATCCTTTTTATCATAATCCCACTCAACATATAACTTACCAACTCCTACATAATGGCATTAATCCATTCAAGAGGGCAGAGCCCTCATCATCTAACCACTTTTTAAAGGCCACATCTCTTAATACTGTTACAATGGCAATGAATTTTAACATGAGGTTGGAAGTGACATTTAAACCATAATAATGGCTTCAATATCTCAGTGCATCATGTCTTCAGAAAGATGTACAAGGAGGAAGGGAAAGGAAAGTGAGGCAAGATATTTCTCCTCTTAACGTATTATTATACTTTCTTTTGAAATATAAGTTTTCACAGCATTTTTTGTTTACATATCATTAGTCATAGCTGAATCTTATTATTAATCTGAAGAAATGGTAATGAGATTACTATGACTGGTTCAGCCCAATCATGATTCATAACTCAGCTGCTTAAATATAAGCTTATTAAATATCAAATTCCTACTAGCAGGAGGATGATAGTGTGGAGGGATGGCTATGGGTAAGTGCAATTCTTTGTTTTCCACAAAACCTTTTGTGGCATAACTGGAGCATATGTCTTAATTTGTCTCCTAATTTAAATCCATTGTTCTTGCACAAGTATTTACAGTGCACCCCGGAATGGAGGAGGAGGAAACACTAATATGCTGGCAAAAGTTAGCATCTTTCTTAAAGCATCCAAAATAGCACTGTTACAAGTGGTTAATATTTTATTGTTCAGATTAAGTCACGTGGACAAGGTCAAAGATTATGGGGGGAGAGTTAAAAACAAATACTCCACATGTATTTTGTCTATCTATAAAGTCAAATGGCCAAAGGTATTTAAAGTCTCAATTGAACAGTAGAAACTTGCATGTACAAGAGTAGATTCATTTTTCCTCTGATACAAGTAAATGTGGGTGCTTGGGTGGCTGTATGAATAACTTACTGTAAAAGTTTGTTATGTAAGTTTTGGTAAGGGAGGTAGGGTTTGTCAGTAGTGCATTTCCTAAGTGTGAGATGAGTAAATGAAGTCAATGTCTCACTGAGTAATTGACTATCTGAACAGCCTTTTAAAAAACTACAAATGAGTATTGCACATTATTGAACTCTGGGATAAAGTAATAGGATTTTTCAAACACAACATAGTCATTGTATCCTGATCGATAAAATAATTTATGAAGTAATGAAATAAAATAAAATAAATTTTAAAATTTGATATTGATTTTGCTGAAATGTTTACCTTACTCTTTTATTTTTAGAGTAATTGTTTTAGGTTATAAGAAACCTTTGGAAAGAGAAGATCTTTTTGAGCTAAATGAAAGTGATTCCCCCTACATTGTGTGTCCCATCTTTGAAAAACAGTGGAGGAAGGAGATTTTAAGGAATCAAGAGAGGCAAAAAATGCAGGTAATTATTAAATTATATTAAATCTTAAAATCATCAACTACTACTTAAAGCATTTTCCAGGTATGAAGTATTGTCACTAGTAATAAAGGAAATCTCTATATATTATTTGAAATGATGCCATTTGCATGAGCATAATTTTTTGTTATCACAACCTATTTCTATGCTCAAATTATCCAGAATCTCTTCTCCTTAACATTTAGATTTCGTGGATAAAATCTTTGGCTTCTCTGTCATTATTGCAAAGATGGCTTCTGTATTTCAGAGCATATGGCAACCAAAGCCAAAGTTTATGGTAGCAAATATAATATATGATCCTTGTTGTGATACACACACACACACACATTTACACACCAATCCTTTTCAGAGGTCTCAAAAACAAAATACAATTTTTGAATATATAGAGTATTTATATTAATGAAATAATCTTAGCATTCACAAAAGTGACAAAACATAACTACTGCTGTTACTCTTTGAGTCATGTGATATTGTCTAAGTAACACAAAGTAGCCTGGATACAGATCATGTCGTATTTTTAAGTTTAACTGAATTTACTTTTTTCTTGTTGCTTTATAATATTTGGAGAATATTGCTAATTTTCTGGTGAGCTTATAGCTATATTTCATTTTTACTCGTTTTAGTGTTGCCCAATTTTCTCATAATTTTGATTTTCTTTAAATATGCAGGCATCTTCCCATCAAGGGGCTCACACCAGGAAGCCATCTCTACTGTATGCCTTGTGGAACACTTTTAAATCTGTCCTGATTCAAGTTGCTGTATTCAAAGTGTTTGCTGATGTTTTGTCCTTCACTAGCCCACTCATAATGAAGTAAGTTGAGAGCTTATCATTTTTCTTCATCACAGGCAAATAATAAACAAATATTACACTATAAAAGTTCTCAAAAAGAGTAGGAAAGTTTCTTTTGGAAAGTTTTATTTGAGATATGGACATTCTATTCTGTGATTTGAGTGTGGGTTATGATATTATAATCAGTGGTTATGGAAGTCAATCATGTACTAAATCCTGAATTCTAAAATTCTTTGTGTTAATTGTCTTAAATGAAGGTTATGCAGAGAACAGAAATAACAGTATATTTATAGATTCATAGGAGAGGAACTTATTATAAGAATTGGTTCATGTATTTATGAAGACCCAGAAGTCCTACAATTTTCCATCTATGAGCTGGAGACCCAGGAAATCCAGGGAGATAATAATTTAGTCCAAGTCCAAAGACCTGAGAATCTGGAGCTATGTAATATCCAAGGGCAGGAGATGGAGGTCTCAGTTCCTGAAAAGCCCTTTCTTCCTCTTTTGTCCTATTTGGGTCCTCAACTGATTGGATGACACAAAATGTCTTCCAACCCTTATTCTGCCTTCTAATTAAGATGCTAGTCTCTTCTAGGAGCTCTCACAGAAATGTTTGAACCACCACCTGGATATCCCTTTACCTAACCAAGTTGATACATAAAAGTTGCCATAACATTATCTCATTTAATCTTTACAGCAATCAGAAAAGAAGTAGAAAGTATTACTGCATCCATAATTGCAATGTAGAAACAGGAAGAGATTTAACTAATTTGCCAAGTCCACAAAGCTAAAAAGTACCAGAATAATGGTTGAAATCCTGGAAAATTTGCTTGAATGTGTGTTTATAAAATGAAGTGATGGGTGTTTTCACTGTTTCTTAGCTGTGTTTACTTGGGAATTGAATTTTATCAGCCAAGGTAATTTTATATATATATATATATATATATAAATATATATATATATTTATATATGTATATATATGTATATATATATATTTATATATGTATATATATATACATATAGCTATGGAATAATTATAGATATAGCTATAGAATAATATATATATGCGTGTGTGTGTATTCATGTGTGTGCATGTGTGTATGACTTGAAACATTTCTATATCTATCTGCAAGGATTTAAAAGCAATGAAACTTGAGCCCTTGACTGTGTGCTGCCTTTTCTTTACTTTTTTTCCATAATGAGGTTTGAACTAACGGTCTTGTGCTTGGTAGGCAAATCCTCACTACTTAAGCCATGCCCCAGCCCTTTTTGCTATAGTTATTTTCAAAATATGTTCTCACATTTTTTCCCAGGCAGGTCTGGACTCCAATCCTCCTATTTATGCCTTCTGTGTAGCTGGGATGATAGGTGACTGACACTATGCCTGATTTACTGTTTGAGATTGGGTCTCACCAATTTTTGCCTGGGCTAGCCTTGAACTCTGATCCTCCCAATTTTTACTTTTCCTAAATAGCTTAGATTAAAAGTGTGAGCCACCATGCCAGATCCTTTGTGTTCTTCCTTTTTTGAAGGAGCCTTTCTTCTGATCATGGTATAAAGAAAACACACACAAAAAAACCATTTTTATTAACCTGTCGTTATATTCTTAGTTTTAAAGTGTTTAATGTTTCCAAGTCATTAGAGATTACATTAGAAATCTCTTCTCATCTAACTTACGAAAATATAAATCATGTGTAACCTGAACCCTAAATAATATCTAAAAATATATTCATCCAACATTTATTGAGCACTGCTACTGTAGAGATCAAGCAAAAATTAAAACAAAGTCCTGCTCTAACATTTAAGGGGAGGGTTAAGTAATAAACAATATTCAGAGTTAATCAGTTCTTACTTAGGAAAAAAGTAACAAAGTAAAGCAAGGTTAAAAAGTAACAAAGTAAAGCAGGATTAGAAACTGCTATGTTATGAAAGGTGATTAGAGACGACGTCCGTGATAAGAAGACATATAAATAAAATCCAAAAGGAACTTAAAAAGATAGCCAAGATGATATCTTTTGCAATTCCAGGGAACAGGAAGGGCAGAAGTCATGAGCATACTTGATATTTTTTAGGCCCTAACAGAGGCAAGTAAGATTAGAGCAGAGAGGTTCAGAGGAAATATGGAAGATTAGAACCAGAAAGGTCTATGAATGAAAGAGATTTTGAAGGGCATTATGGTGTATAATGGAGGTATAGGCTGTCATTCCAAGTTAAAAGGAGGTTTTGGAAGATTTTGAGGGGAGAACAATATGACTAAACTTATTTTATAGGGCTTATCCTGCTTGATCTGTGTAGAATAAAGTGTAAAAGTGTAAGAAGGATCACCACTGGGATGTCTGTTGAGATAACCCAAGCAAAAGTCAATGATGGCTTCAACTAGGTTGTGGTGATGAAGGTGATAAAACTGGCCAGATTCTGGTTTTGGTTCAAAGATGGATTGAACAGAATATACTGATGGATATCAGAATATACTCTGTCTGTCTGTCTTGTGTGTGTGTGTGTGTGTGTGTGTGTGTGTGTACATCTCTATGTCAGTCTGTTTCCCTCTCTTTTTTTCATGGTCTCTCTGATTGGTTAGCATAAACATAGCTTTCTCAGGGTAGTTGATTTCTTCCATGGCAGTGGTATTTCTCCAATGTGAATATTCTAAGAAGCTCAGACATGTCTTTTTTATTGCATAAGGTCACTCTTATCATATTATTTTGTTCATGCAAATGCTTAGGTCAATTCAGATCCAAATGGAAAGAAATAAGGGGAATGAAATTCAGTTCATCAATGTGAGGGAAGGATTGCCCAGCCACTCTTGGTCATGCTGTTTCCCATTTGTCAGTGAATAAGGCTCAACAAACTCATTAGAGAATCACACTGTTGTCATCGTCTTCCCTAAAAAAGATAATTCAGTGTGTCTATGATTTCTACCTTCCCTGAATGTTTGTACTATTTAAGAGACCAAGAATGTCTGTAGGATAAAGAATGGCCTCCCTAATTTTGTGTCCACACCAGCATCACGTACTTGCTAAACAAGAATTTCATTATTGTACTAAAATGCTTCATCTGAATAGTTGGAGATAGGTACAGCAGTTCAAATGGAGATATATGTCTCCCTACCTAGACAACAGCTCCCCCAGGTAAAGGATCCTATGTTACTCAGTTCTTAGCTTCTTTTACAAAGCCTGACATATGGAACTCTAACACTTTTCCTTAATACAATACTGCATACAAAAGGTTCACACTTTTCCAAGAAACCATTATTCCCTGAGTAATTTAATATCTATAAAATTTCTACACTGAGAAACAATTGAGTGATCTGAAAGAATTTCATGAGTTTGTATAATCATAATTTAGGTCCAGTAGAGCTAAATTTATAAGAATATAAACATATTTTTTCTTTTGACGGGAAAAATTGCTAGAAGAAACTAACTTTAAGGATAAGCGCATCTTGTCATATTATGACTCATTTGTTTAATCATGCATATAAAATAATGCTGTCATTAATTTACTAATACAAGAGATACGATTCTTGTTGATTATTGTGCTTCACCTTTTCCCCACTTTATGTATTTTATTCAAATATCAAACAAAAAAAAGAATGTTCATTTTTGATGTAAATATAGTATTTTGGTCCTTATCATGCCTGGAATATAGATTGTTTTTAATATTTCCTAACTAATGCATGCAGAATTGCTGTGGCACCTGGTGATAGGGCTTTAGTTGTTTGATTTTTATGAGGAAGTACAAAGGTTAATGATGGATATATCCACAATAGAGAGACTTGTGCACATGTTTAGGAAATTTGACTCAGAGCCCAAGAAGGCCTTTTGTAAGCTACCTTTGCAAAAGTAGTTTAGTATTTCCAAAGGATGGCATCTGATAGAGATCAATTAAGAAATATAGAACTTGCTGTTGTTACTATGTTCACGCGAGATATGGAATAATATAATAGTATCATTGAAAATATATAATGCTCAGATAATTTTAGTAACTGGGTGTCTTAATAATAGTTTTACAGAAACTGATACATGTGTGTGTGTGTGTGTGTGTGTGTGTGTGTGTGTGATTCTGAAGTGTGGTTTTAAAATCATTTGGAGTACTTGGCATATAAAACAATTTGAGAAACACATCCACTAGCTGCCCGGGTTATTGATAAAATACATCAAAAAGCTTAGAAATATATTTTTATTTACCACTTTAAAGGCTTTCATAACTTCTAAATTATTTAGAGAGTGAGCTTTTAAATGTGGTATTTTTAAGAAAAATGAGATATAGTCTTACATACCACATGGTTTCCTCTGGTTATAATAACTTACACATTCACTCAAAGTGACCATTTACAATGACAGACCATTTTTACAACTCCAGAGTTCACAATGAGAAAGGTACAGTCATAGTATTTAATATATAAATATTGAATATATTAATATGTTACCTATAAAATATGAGCTACTTAAGCAAAACAAGAATTGTGAGCCTGAAAAATAAATGACAGACTAATTTATCATATTCCAGAGTGTATGCTCAAATTGTTTTCACCATTATGAACCATTTAAGTTGTTTTCAGTAACGTAGATGCAGTTTTAAAAAAGGTGGAACCATGTGAAAATGTTATTAACAATAAACATCAGGTACTCTGAATTTTACCTAAGTTTATAGGAGAGGGACAAACTATGACTATCCCCGTCTTTCTATACCTGAACTTTGATGCCAGTCATCACAACCATCCCGTCACCAAACCTGAGGAAATGAGAAGAGGTAAAGTGAGAGAGAATTATATACAGATAAGTCTAACAATAAAATATGTGATATAAATCAAGACTTTCCCAAAGCACCTGTGTGTTGTACCAAGAGACACCCCATTTATACTCTGATTTTCTTGTTTCCCTACTTTTTTGCAAAATGTACCATTTTTATTTATTTTTTTATTTTTTATTATTTTATTATTCATATGTGCATACAAGGCTTAGGTCATTTCTCCCCCCTACCCCTACCCCCTCCCTTACCACCCACTCCTCCCCCTCCCTCTCCCCCCACCCCCTCAATACCCAGCAGAGACTATTTTGCCCTTATTTCTAATTTGCAAAATGTATCATTTTGAAAAAAATGTTTTAAATGGCTCTCACTTTTCTGATAAAATCAGATCACAAGAGCTAATTATTTCATGAGACCAATACATGAAAACCAGAAAATAACCTCTCGACCACAAGCCTGAAGAAGTTTTTGTTGATTTAATTTATCACATAATGCTTGAGTTAATGAAAAAAAGAAAAGAAAGGAAGGGGGGATACCAAGTTGACCAAGTAGAGTGTGTGTGTGTGTGTGTGATACTTTAATAATACTTAACTCTTATACACTTTTAACTACTGCAGTGTTTCACGTTTCTTCCCTTGTCTCAATTTTTATGACATCCAGGCAAATGATCATCTTCTGTGAACACAGCTCAGATTTTGGTTGGCGCAGCTTTACTTATGCAGTGGTACTTTTTGTCGTAGTCATTTCCCAAACCCTAATCCTTCAACAATACCAACGTTTTAACACACTTACTTCAGCAAAAATTAAAACAGCTGTGGTTGGACTGATCTACAAAAAGGTAAAAAAAAAATCAAGGAATTTCCAATTTCTACATGGATTACTGTCATATATGCTTTAAAATAAGGGAACTGGAAAAATAGTGAACTATGTTGAAAATTTCTTAATGTGTCCTTGCTTATACATTTGTTTTTCTTTAAAAGAACATTGACTCAATTTTTGGATTTCCCTATAGGATCCTCTGCCTCTCCTTATAGTCCCTACAATTTCTACTCAACTCTAATCCATGAAATTAAATGATTTTTGTCGATTGTTAAGACACTCCTCAGAAAGTGAATGGAATTGAATGTTTTAGTGATTGTCTATATTTGTGTATGCATAAAATTTCTTTTTTTATACAGTCATTCTCATCCTACATAGCACCTTTTTCTTATTCCTCTACTCACCTTATTTTTTCATATAGCAAACTCATCTTACTCTGTATGGTAATTGTCTTCTTTCTATCATCCAAAGCCCTACTCTTCCCAAACTTGGCTGGTTCTTATTCCTGGTATAACTGTAAAGTTTAATTTTTGAAAGTTAATGTTTAAAAACACAAGTTTAATCACCACCTCTTTACTATAAAGAGCATTTTATTTACATCATAATTATAAACAGCTCAATTGTCAGCCAGTTATTCAGTCAGGTATGTTTTCTTCTTACTTTGTGTTCCCCGTAAATTGTGGGCTCTTCAAGTTTTGGAATAGAATGTACTTGCCAGTTGTATCCTTATCATCTAAGATACTGACCTTTACACATTTTTTGTAAATGTTGGAGATGATTCAGTAAATAAATTAATGAATCAGTCTCTGCCTTCAAAAAAATTGGAAGTGTTAGCATAAATAATAAATGTGTGAAATTATATGCAGCTTTTATAGATCAGACAAGCAGCAAGTCTACAAGGGTTCTAATTATAGTTAAGGAAGTTTTCAGATAAAGTCATGAAAGAGTTTTGAGGTAACTATAAATTTTGTGTAAATAGAGAGAAATATTATAATTTGCACTGAGCTGGGTATGAGGCATTATAGGCCAAATGGGGATATGGATTAATTTGGGGGACCCTGGAATGGTCTAGGATCAATTGGGTCAGTAAATGGTAATTGAACTTGTACAACTATGGAGCTCAGTACCAAATCAAGTTTAGAAAGACTGTCCCAGTCATGATTCTAGGGGCAGTATATGTTGAGGAATCCAAATATGAAGAAAAGATACAAAAAAGTCTAGGAATTATGGAATAGTATTTCATTCAGTGATTAAAACGTTAGAGTCTGGACATGGGTGTGGATGGAGCAAAAAAGGCTGAGTACAAAGGATTTTTAGAGCAATAGAAAAATTCTGTGTGATAGTATAGTGGTGAATATGTGTCATTATACATAATAACCAAGCCTAAGTCCATAGCAGGTGCATTACAAGATAGGCTTGGGGTGGTAATGACATGTCAAAATTCATCAGTTCTAGCAAGAACACCATTGTGTAGGGGTTGTAGATAATGGAGGAGGCTATGCATGTGTGGGGAACTGCCTTCCTCTAAGCTTTGCTGTGGACCTAAAACTGCTCTAAAGGATAGTCTTCAAATTAAAAACAACAGTTGGTTACAATAGAAATTAGAGCAAGCTGCCTGAAGCAAAAAGGAAATCAAGAATCCTGGGTAAGTCCATTGCAAGGACAAGGAGTTTCTAGACGTAAGTGGGAATAGTGATTCCCTAGAGATTGCTTAAAAACAAAGGGACTGAAGGAACAAAGGAGTCCAACCACCAAGTCTCTTCAGTGGATTCTGCTTTCCTGATTACTGTTGAGTAGGAAACATAAGTCTCTATTTATGAAGCTCATTTTTTGGGCTATTCAACTTACAGTTTTAGGATTCTTATTTGTATAATATTTAGATACCTTCAAGATCCTAACATAACCCATATTGATCTGAAATCGGTTCTTCTCCATCAGGGACTTGTTACTAAAGCTGGTCTTGGATCCTTTTCTTGGCAAGAAGTGGACTTGCTTATTTGATATTATTCACATGATTCCTATTAGTTTTGAACAAAGTTTAGAGAATATCATTTGTAAGTTTGCGGGGAAGAACATGGAACTTCTTCTACTTGGTGACCTTAAGAGTCTATGAGTTGTATGGGCTGGAGGCATGCCTCAAGTGGTAGAGCACCTGCCTCAAAAGCAGGGGATCCTGAGTTCAAATCGCAGTATCACAGACATACACACACACACAAATAGTTTTGGAGTCTCAAAATTAGATTTTGTTATGCTCTGTTTCAGGGCACCAGGCTCCAGTAGTATTTCTGAAGATTCAGTAGAAAAAGGCATGACTGAAAAGCAGCATCAATTAACTCTGGACTTAAAATGGGTGGTCTGGGGGCATTTCTTCATTAAACATCATCCAGTAGGAATATTTATGTTTTGAAAAATGTTCTATATCAACACTGTGCAGCATGGTAGCCACTAGTCACATCTGGCTGCTGAACAGTGAAATGTAACTAGTAGGACTAAGGAAATGAATTTTTAATTTTTATCAATTTAAACTTAAATTGATTAGTAACTTAATCAATTAGCCAGGCTAGTGACTACCATTTTGGACAGTGTGTCACATTTAGGTAAAATCATCACTTGTCTTTCTATGCCTGACTTATTTCGCTTCCCATAATGTCCTCAAGATCCATCTATGTGTACTTCCTTATTTTTTAAGGCTGAATAATCATTTTTCCAAAGCAGACATCAAAATGAGCAACATGTTTATGATAAAAGTGTCAATCATCACTAATCATCAGGAAATACATGTCAAAACAATGATGAGATATCACTATTTATCTCCCAGGATGACTATTGCCACAAAAATTTTAAAAAAGACAAGGGTTTGGAGAAAACAGAACTCTTGCACAATATTGGTAGGAATGCAAAGTGACAAAGTCACTATGGAAAACAATAGGGAAGTTATTAAAAAAAATTTAAAAGAGGATCTTATGATCTAGGAACATGGATATATGCCCAAAGAATTGAAATCAAGATCTCAAATAGACATCTACACTCCTATGCTCATGCCTCACTGTTCACAATACCTAAGATGCAGAAGCAGTCTAAATATTGAGCAGCTGATAACTGATAAACATACAACGGAGTACTATTCAGCAATTAATTTTAAAGATTATGTTCTCTTGTTCATTGAAGAGAAATGTGCACAAAGCATAAAATATAAAAGAAGAATAACAACTACCTACAATTCTAGACTCCAAAAATAATCACTGGTATATTTTCTTTGAATATATATTTTTCTTACAATATGCATATTAGGAATAGATTTTTTTATGATCTATTATTTACTTAGTAGTGCTTCATGAACAAAAAGTACTGAGAAGATATTGTGTGAACATAATTTCCTTGTGACTCATTTTTATGTTTCATCTTTTTAAATTTTAGATATTTTATTCTTATATACAAATATGTTTAAATAAATACATAGATGGGTTACTTTATATGTGCTGTAGTTTTTCCCTACTTCTGGCATTTTCCTCTTCTTTAATCCATTTTTTTCCTTTAATTTACATCTTCACCCAAAGTACATATGGTGTCTTCTTTTTCTTTTATTTAGGAAGGTTTTATTATTTTCCAAAATTTGGGTAATATTTTGAACACATTTTTAATTTTTTCATTTTAACTTTTGTGTTTAAGAACTATATATCTTTTCTGTATAACTCTAGTCATTTTTAATGGTTATGTAATAATATGTCTTCTATAATCATGTTTTTTGACCACTAAGCAATACTGCCAAAACCATCCTTGCCACACAAGGGTATCTGTGTTTTTGTTCTTGAAGTAAAATTTCTATTTTTAAAGATAGGTGGACATAATTTTACTTTTAGTGAGGATTCTGAGTATTATTCACATGGTCTGCAGGAATTTATATTTCTGATGAAAAGATATCAAAGTAGCTTCTCCATATACCCTGATCACTTCTGCAACACTGCCTTTGATAATAAGATGACAGAGAGAGCTGATGCCAATCCCTGCCCACCCCAACCCCCCACACACCATTTTAGGATTACCTGTTTTGTCCTGGTGTTTCCCTGCCTAGGTATTTATGAGGATTTTCTTTTCTCTGGAGAATTCTCAAATTTTCCAACATAAGAGAACATGCTGCTTTCTAATTTATTTGGCTATACTTTCTGGCTGTTTTTTGTTTGAAGTTTTTGTTTTCATTACAGAATATATTTTCTGTTTTTCTCTTTAATGTTTCCTTCTTGCTCTTTACTTATAAAATAATAATGGTTTGGGTCGTGTTTTAAACATTATTTAGTGCATAGATAGCTATTACACCTACGTATGTATCATAAGGAAACTTAAATACAGATCTTCTGGGTAACTTACCTATAATCAAAAAGCTATTAAAATGGAGAAATTGGCCTGGAATTTAATGAAAATGAAAACACAACCTATTAGAAACTATGGGACACAGCAAAGGCAGTCCTAAGAGGAAAGTTTATAGCCATGAGTGCATATATTAAGAACACAGAAAGATCTCAAATAAATGACCTAATGCTACATCTCAGTCTCCTAGAAAAACAAAAACAAGCTAAATCCAAAGTAAGCAGAAGGAAGTAAATAATAAAAAATGAGGGCAAAAATCAATGAAATAGAGACCAGAAAAAACATACAAATAATTAATGAAACAAAAAGCTGGTTATTTGGGGTTTTTTTTTTGAAAAAAATAAACAAGATAGACAAGCCCCTGGTAAATCTGACTAAAATGAGGAGGAAAAAGACCCAAATTAGTAAAATCAGAAATGAAAAAGGGGAGATAGCAACAAACACCAGGGAATCATCAGGGACTACTCTGAGAACCCATTTTTCAAATAAATTGGAAAATCTAGAAGAAATGTACAAATTTCTAGATATTTATGACCACCCAAAATTGAACAAAGAGGATATTAATAACCTAAACAGATCTATAACATGTGGTGAAATTGAAGCAACAATAAAGAGTCTCCCAAAAAAAGAAAAGTTCAGGACATGACAGATTCT